GGGCGCGGCATACAATGACAGAACCTGGACAGAGAATGTTGTCCCAAAGTCGCGGCTGCGACTGGCGTCGCTCCCGCGACACGAATTTTATTTTATTTATTTTTTTTTTGCAAAATAACGAATATATATTCGTTTTTTCATACAAAAAAGGATTAAATAATCGTTGTATTTGGTGTGAGATTTCATTTTATGTGGATTTTACGAGCTTGAAGCGGCTATTTTTCGATCTTGGTTTATATACGTGATATAATGGTGATTTTGATTTTATAAATCATGTTACATTGCCTTGTGTCTTAGGTGAAAACATATTTTTTTTTTATGTTTACGAAAAGTATAGTGATTCTTTTTTTATTTTTTTTTGTAGAAATGGCCTCGTCGTCGCACTCAGAGCGATACAGTGTGCAACCCGGTCCGAGGGATTCATCCCTTTTATATCTTCAGGACAACCACCGGTCAAAACCGGTATACGACGATGTAGAGGGATGTCGTGACGGCGTCATTAAACCCCGCCGTTTCGACAGTGAGTTTTGGAAGGCGTTGCCCAGACAACATCCTCGAGTTTGGGAGGTGATCGATCGTACAGGTTTCGGGCCTCTGTTTAGAATGGGCAGAGTGAAGTCGGAGAACAGCCTCATTACATGTCTAGTGGAAGGTGGCGACCGGAGACGCACACATTCCACTTTGACTTTGGGGAGGCGACGATCACGCTACAAGATGTACAAGTTTTATTCGGTCTCCCGATCGATGGACCGCCTTGTTGGGGAGTGACTTATGAACGCTCACCCGCACAATGGCAAGCTATGTGTGCTGATTTACTAGGGTTCGAGCCACGAATGGATGTAAATTTTAACTACACTTTTTTTTTATTAATATTTTGTTTATGTTTACTCAATATATTAATTTAAGCTATTATATATAAACCACTCTCAGGCTGACGCCAACCCCAAGACTTGGGCCATTACAGGCCAATTTTTAAAGATCAGGGCGTTAGAAGAAGAGTGCAACACAGAGCTAACCGGTGAGGAGCATATATTTCGGTACCAAGGGAGGGCGAGGGCCCTTATACTCTGGTGCATCGGTTCCTTCTTCTTCCCCGACCAGAGGGCAAATGGCGTGAACCTGTTCTGGTTACATCATTTGCACGATATCGATCAGATCAAGAGCCACAGCTGGGGTTCGGCTGTCCTCACTGGAGTGTATAGAGCGCTCGACAAGAGCGCCATTGCCGGGGAACAGTGGATCAAGAACTGTGTCCAATTGATTCAGGTAAATAAATGTATTTAATTGTTCTTTGAAAAATCATTTTTTATTTTTTTAATTTAGACTAATATCTAATAACAAATGCATATGTCAATTTGTGTAGGTTTGGGCATGGGAACGTATCCCTCGTATTAGCCCAAGAATGAGGGATACGAACTTTGATAGAGTTCATGGTTGTCCCTTATGAGGAAGGTAATCACCTTAATTTTTATTTAAATCTTAGAATATTTCAATTATCAAATTTTGTAGTTGCGAAAAGTTTATTTTTTTTATCATGTGATTTTTAAGGTGGGTGGGACGGAGGAACATGACACACATAGGAAAGGGAACAGCCGCTATTCGAGACCAATTAACAGCGCTGAGAGCAGATGAAGTAAGAATATTTTTTTATTTTTTAAATTTTTTATTTTTTTAAATTTTTTTTTATAACTTAATTCCTTCCTTCCTAGATTTTTTTATTTATTTTTTTTTTATTTTTTTTACAGTTCAATTGGGTGCTTTATAAGCATCACCTGGACGCGAGTACTCTCCCGGCCCAGTGTACAGAAGGTTCAGCCCTCTGGATGTATAGGGGGTGGATGTTCTGTTGGAACAATCGTGAGCCCCACCTGCCTGATAGGGTCCTCCGTCAGTTCGGGTGTCGGCAATCCATCCCCAACCCTCCGATCATTACGAGTTTGGACGAATTCAAGACAACCCACCGAGGCCAATGAATGACTGGGAGGGCATTCTTTGATTGGGTTGCCTTTCATGGTCCGCTAGGGCATGCTTGGGTCGAACAAAGAGCCCAAAATGTCTTCCCACATTATCCTGTGGAGTCATTCATTGAGCCTGAGGCGGGTTACCTTGATTGGTTTCACAATAGGACTGTGAGACTGATCAGTAACCCTGCCAACTACTCGGCGGTCCAACAACATGGAGGCTATCAACCACTTGCCGAGCAGGGGATGTGTAGTGTAAGTGTTCATAATTTGTGGTTTTTTTATTGTTATGATTTTTATTTTTATTTTTTTGTGTTTAATACTAATTATTTTAAATTTAATTTTCAGACTAATGCCATGGAGAGTGTTTTTAACTTGTTATCGAGTCTTGACTTTGATAACCTCACTCCAGCGCAGCAGGCCATAATCTCCACGTCCCAAAACATGCTCTACAGTGGACTGAATGTCGGAGGACAACGGGTCACGCAAGGGACGTCGTCGAGTCAAGTTCTATCTCAGGAG